GAGTGATTTAATGTGATGAATACAGAAGTGTGGGAAACCGTGTGTTTCTGTGGCTCCACCAGATCCAGGAGCTCTGGGGCGTGTGATCGGGGTCCACATTGTGCCATGAACCAGCTGTGTGTGTGTGCGCGTGTGAAACACAAACCACAGAACTCATAGAACAGCTGCTTCACCAGAATATCCTGTTACACTGACCTAAAATACTGTGTTTCTTTTTAACTGATTATAAACTGCAGCCACATGTGCTGATATTATTCACAAACAATTAAACTCCAGGAGAAACATGTGTTTGTATAAATGCACACATAAAAGAATGTATGCATTTAAATTCTTTTAAAAATCTCATTGCTTTGCACATTTTTATGATAAATACTCATGTGTTGTTTTTCTGAAGGCATGCAGTGTTATTTTAGAGGAAATGAAATCCCAGTATGGCACGTGTTTGGTTATGACATTGCTTCAGTGACATTGATGTGAAGATGAGCTCTCCGCACTTTCCCAGAGTCACCCTCCACCTGCTCCTTTGAGCCCCTGATGGAGGATCATTGAGCATGTGGCGGCCCACATCCCTCATTGTCTGTTTGAGCTCTTCCATTGGCTCCAAACTGTGAGAAACTCCAACAAGCTCAAGCCTCACACATTCATATGGAGATTTGGGAGTATAAATAGAGGAGCTGCAGCCAGTGCAAATCAGACTCACTCTGAACAGAGAGATCTACAGCACAGAGATCCAGACATGACACCTACAATCATCTCAAAGGAGCTTCTCCCTCTCAACAACAAGGTACATTCACATCCTACTTACAGCAGCATTACTGCAGCAGCTGTCACGGCTCTTCTCAATCACTGGTTTATTCAAAGGCCACTTTCCTGATGCTTTTCTGTCTTCATTTGCAGATGATAAAGTCGATGGTGCAAGATGCGCAGAGATTGTATCAACAGCAGCATCGAGCAGCTCAAGTGTCTTCTGGCTCCAGAGTTCCTCAAGCAGCAGCCTGATTCCAAGCTGGAGGAAGCAGATATCCTGGAGATGACGCTCAACTTCCTGCAACGCCACAATTGTGTGTCGGTGAGATTGTGCACTTCCTGTCCAAAGATGAGATGAAGACACAGAGCCAGAGAAGTCTGCTGAAGCACTTCCAGAAGCTGCAGACATCATGTGAGCAGAACAGGAGGGAAAGTGTCCTGCCAGACCAGAAGACCTCCAGCAAAGACATGAATGTCAACAAGAGCGCCATCTGGAGGCCTTGGTAGAGCCTTAAAGACTCACACTGAACGTCTACACTTGACTCGGTGGACTATTATTTTTAAGTTTTCTTTTTTGAGGAAAAGTGTTTATTAAATTCTAATTCTGAATTTTTTTATGTAAAGTATTTTATGATACAGTGATAACTCTGCATCACTTTACTTTGCATTAGATGTTATGCATTTGGATGTATAATGTGCAAGGTATTTATTCAGCTGTTTGAATACTTCCAACTTCATGTGATTCAACATGTGTTTAAAAACATTTCTGTTATAGAAATAATTACATTTCCCATCTATTTTGATGGACTGTCTATTACTTATTTCAAGTAATATCAATTTGTGCTTCACAATGAAGCTAGATTTCATTTTAACCTCATAATGAGCCTTTGAGTAAATTGTTATTTCTCATTGTTTGAGCATATTTGGACAAATCTTGTCAGTTTATAAACAGTTACTTTTGGAACAAGTTTGTTTAATGTACCCTTTCCTTTCATAAAGGCATGTATTGTGATGAAAACTAAATTTTCAAGGACTCACTTGTATTGTATCAATATGCGTGTGTATTTGACATTGCATGTGTAATGTGCAAAACATCTGTTTTCTCATTAGAGATCTAATAAATCAAATTGCTTTTCAATCCACTTTTGCTTTTCACTGGTATTCACATTTATGAGCACAACATTTTTAATGCAAGGAATGTTTAATAAGTGATATTAGCTACAACATGTTAAAACAAGTTGGATTAAATAACAAAAACACACCTTTACAAAAGGCATCGATTAGATTTGAGACTAAAACTCAAATGACAGGATTTTCTGATGATGTTATGCTTGCCATACACCAGGGGTGTCAAACTCAGTTCCTGGAGGGCCAGAGCCTGGCAGAGTTTTGTTCCGACACACATACCATGTAGTTTTCAAATAAGCCTGAAGGACTTGATTAGTTGGTGTTTAATTAGTGTTGAATCTAAACTCTGCAGGGCTCCGGCCCGCCAGGAATTGAGTTTGCACCCCTGCCATACACTTTAGACAGTTCTCGAACTCGTTGGTTCCTCGCGTACCACCGCTCTGCACATTGCCATGATTCCAGTTTGAAGGGAGCATCTATGTTCCAATCAAAGGGCATTAAAGTGTATGAGACGTGAATTTAAGCTGTATTTATTTACAGAGGTATATTATGTCACACTTCACACATCTCTAGTAAGTTTCATCTGTGTGTAGACGCTGCAGGCCGTGGCATAGCGCAAATCTGTGAATGAATGCTACGAAGTGAATGGATTTCCAGGGAGTAGGGAGCAAAGAACACTGTATAGGGACCATGTCAATCGGGACACAGTTCATGCATGGAGCTCTGATCTGAATCAGGTGTGTTAAATAAGAGACATGCAAAATATGCAGAGCGGTGGTACCTGAGGACTGGAATTAACTAGATTAAATCCAAAAGAGCATGCAAATGTTACATTAAAGTGAAGTGAATATGCCTAAACAAACGTTTTGTCAAGCAAATAGTCTCTAAATGAGTTCTTCCACGGTATCCATGATGGCACTCTTGGCGATGATCTTTTGTTTTGTTTTTAACGACACTTTTTTTTTACTAATGTTCAAAAATCAAGAATAGTACACATAGAATAATATACGGTGGCCGTGAAGTGCAAAGCAAATCACAATTCTGAAAACAAAATAACAAATTACAAACGCAAATGCAAGTCTAAAAAACAAAATAACAAGTCAGAAAACACAACGACAAATCCGACAAACCGGAAGAGGTAGGTATAGTTTGAGACAGCGCCATTGGTTTGGGATTACTCACCGCTGACTGGACGAGACATCCGTCAATCAACCTATACAGGAAGAACCAGCCGAAGAACAGCAGAGTCGTGGTAGAAAGTTCGGAGATGGTATTAAAGTAGCTCAGTTTAAATGTATTGTATGAATTGCCCTTACTCTGGAATAAAAAATACGGAGTGTCTATTTTCAGAATTGTGATTTGCGTTGCACTTCACGGCCACCATAATAATACAACCATTAACATAAAAATGATAAACAATAATAACAAAAAATAAAGTAGAAAAAAAAAAATATTACATGTGCACAAAAGTTTGGGGGTCAGTAATATTTTGTAATTTTTTTAAGTCTCATGCTCACCAAGGCTGCACTTATTTGAGCAAAAAAAAAAAACAGTAAAAGCAGCAATATTGTGAAATATAACAATTAAAAATAACTATTTTCTATTTTAATATATTTTAAAATGTAATTTAAAATGCATCTGTGATCAAAGCTGAATTTTCAGCATCATTACTCCAGTCTTCAGGGTCACATGATCCTTCAGAAATCATACTAATATCATTTGCTGTTCAAGAAGCATTTATTATTATTGCTGCTTCATATTTGTGTGGACACGTCATGCATTTTTCAGAATTAATTTTATATATAGTAACAATGTTATGTAATGTATGTTATAATGTGGCAATGGTTTCTATAGATCTACTTACGCTTCTGATGCTTTTGGGAAACGCAGCCCTGTTTGAACAAGCACTGTGAGCCATGCGTCAGCAGCGAACGCCATCTGTGATTGACTGCTTCTGTCGTTCAGCATTTGCGTGTGTTCCGATAAGCAGGAGAAATGGTTCAATCCTAAACAATTATTCGCTAATATAGTCTATTTTTCCACTTAGAAGCTTATTTTATGCACTGCATGTCTTGATAAATAAATAAAATTAATGGTTAAAAAAATGCACTTTAGAATCGATATTTTTATGTGAGGATCGATCCTTTCGATACGACATCAGTATCGAAAGTATCGATTCTTAAGGATCGATCCGCCCATCCCTACGCAGGCTTTAAAGTCGAGACGAGCTTGCTTCCTCTCCCGCTGTGAGAAAACACTGGCACGGGCCACTGAAAGTGTGCCTGACTCCTGCGAGCATGTCCAGTAGTGCTGACAAGACCAACAAGTCGGTGTGAAGCAATAAAACGACACGCTTCAGACAGAGAGTCTTGATCCTTGAGGTGTTGTTGCACCAGTGAAAACAGACTTTCCCAGTCTCAGGTTCCAGTTTATTGCATTGAAGGGCCTTTAAAGAAATGCTGATTTTTGGATGTGATTTTAACAATGTAATCTGCACATGCATGGATTAATTTAATGTAAACATTTAATTTGATCAGAAAACGTTTATGAAGTTGAAACTTTTAATTCAGATGCCACTATTTAATTAGACTTAAAGAGAATGTGGTCTTCCTGATAGAAATCAGTGAAATATGATAAAATACTACATCAAAACATTTATTAGTAACAGACATTATTATTATTGTTGTTGCTAAATAATGTACAGTGATGTGGGAAATAGTATATTCCTGAGATAATATAAAAATATCTTCATTTTTTGCAACTTGTTAGTTTCACTAAAAATGAAATATTATGAATATTTACAAAAATATTCAAATTATTAAGAGATTTTGGTACTTTTAAAAAGGTTTTTAACCAAAGTAAATCCAGATTTTGTCTTAATGTTTTTAGAAAGGTTATTTAGTTTTACATTTGAATAACTAAACCTGGCTCTCGCCTGAATATAGCCATGAGGCTGACATGGCATTAAAAATAATAAAGAAAGAAAATATATTTCATTCCCAGCACTGGATTGTGTTAGTCAAAATAATGTTTGCATCAAGTTTAGATAAAAAATAAATAAATAAGTGCATGCAAATCTTTAGTATAATCACATATTCAGAGCATTAAATATTCAGTTTGGTTATTGAAAGACTGGTTGACCTATTGATTAATTGGAACTAGATAAGGTAAATGTAAGTCCTGTGGGATTTATACTGCCAGTGTTTGATTTGATTTGTTGAGGACGCCTCACCCACTGGCCTCTGAGTGTGGGAAAGCTAATCCTGACTGGGACTCATGGCTTTGTAATGCTAATGAGCTCCTATAAATAGAGGAGCACGACCCTCATTCCCAACACAACTGACTCGCTCTCCTCAGAGAAACATCTCTCCGTCTGAAAGAATGGCTCCGACCTACAAGACTGACTACTCTAAACTTTCCAACAAGGAAAAGCATAAAGTAAGTCTTTTTGACATTTGAAACACAATTGTTTCTCTACATTTCTCTTTTGCTGCGCTACGAATGTTGAAGCAAACATCTAACCGGATGTCTCCTTCCTCAACAGTTGAGAAAACCAGTGGTGGAGAAGATGCGCAGAGATCGCATCAACAACTGCATCGAGCAGCTCAAATCCATGCTGGAGAAGGAGTTCCACCAGCAGGATCCAAACACCAAGCTGGAGAAAGCTGACATCCTGGAGATGACGGTGGTTTTTCTGAAACAGCAGCTGCAGCCTAAGACCTCGGCTCCACAGAAAGCCCACTTTGACGGCTATTCCCAGTGCTGGAGGGAGACCATGAGCTTCTTATCTGGAAACTCCAAGGTGGACGCTGTACGTCAGCATCTGAACCGCTGCCAGGAAGGCCAGAGATCATCTAAAGGCCTCGTTCACGTGTCTCCAGCTTCCCATCAGCCCATCAAGGAGAAACAGGAACCGTGTGCTCGCAGACCTCTCTGGAGACCCTGGTAGATGATGAAAGACTTTGACAGAAAAACTAGATGGTGGTTTTACCATCTCTTATATTGTAGGAGATACTTCCTTTTCAAATTTGTTTTGAAAGAATCTTTTTATGGTGCTTCTACCTAGTTTGTAGAAGGAAGTGGGTTTCACAATGTGAAAGTCTAATCTTCTACAGGTGATTATATTCTGATCAGAGGTTTATTGTAACACACCTCTATAGTTTTCCTTATGGATGGATAGTAATTTGTATAAATCTTCACAATGAAGAGACGATGAACATCTGTTTAACTCCTGTGGAGTCAAAGTAATTATTTGCAATGTTTTATATGCAAATGTAATGATTTCTTCTTATGAAAGATGTATTTCTAATATATAGTGGCATATGTTAATTGTGCAATCATACTGTCACATACAAATAAACAACTTTTAAAAATAAACATTCCTGCTTTCCTCTTTATTAGTCGAAATAAATGCTTTGTGCTGCATATGATTAATGGACCTTTGATATTTAAACAATGTTTTTAACAAACCTTCACCACACTTAGTCAAAGTTGTCAAGTGGTCTCAATTTCAGCTAATGGGAGTCCATTTACACTTAATGGTCAAAGAATAACCCAAAATGACAACAAAAAGTCCTAAAATGATGTTACATTCATGCATTTGGCATACACTTTATCCAAAGTGACTTACATTGCATTTAAGGTACACTCTCAGAAAAAAAGGCACAAAACCTGGTACTGGGGCTCTGTCTTCTTTCAAAAGGTACTTATATGCAATCTTTAGGGGTAAAAAAGCAACGTTTTATGATGTGCAAAAAGCCTGATATTATCCAGTCAGCCAGTCATTATTGCTAACTAAACTCCTTTTCATTATTATGCAATAATGAAAAATGCGTTATCCCTTACACTACATTGACATATTAAATGAGTATAAAACCACATGCCAGCTGCTAAAACTTTAGCAACGTGTATTTGTCCCATGTGTCCTCAATTTTAATATCTTCATGTCTCTTAAGCATTTTTTAAATCATGTAATAAGTGGCATGCAGTGTGTGAGAAAAAGCGCAGGGACTTAATGTTCGTGTTTGTACTTTGAAACCCTTGATAATAGTTGCTGTGTGCTGTCAGCTCTGGTTTCATCAGACAGCTGGTGTGGCCGATGGAGGGGGCCGCGTCGCCCATCGAGTGTGGGGCTGGCTTCTCCCAGGATTTCCCACACCCGTGACTCTGGCTCCCATTTCAGATCCGACATTAAGGAAGTGTGCCGTGCTAAATCATCCATTAGGTATGGTGGTGTGAATCCTGACCCGTCCCTGCTACTGCCCCTAATTCAAACCTAAGCCCCCTGGGAAACAACTATTCACTTGTTGTTTGAGTCTACTTGTTGCAAACTTGAAGTGGCGTATTGTTATGGGCCATGTGAGTTTTAAAAGTTCTTTATGCGTTAGAAACTATTTTGTACAATGTTGTAATGTGACTTTAGAACAATTATGACAAACGTTAAAAAATGATATAAATAAATGAATAAAGAATAAAAAAAATTATAAAAATACAACAAAATAAATAACCATGATAGGTTAGCTATGCATTGAGTATTCCATCTAAAGTATTTAATTTCAATAAAATATTATAAAGTTAAATGCAATTGGTGTAGAAACAAATTTCACTCAGAAATTGCTGGTAGATTTCAAAATTGCAAAGACTGAAATTTTCGTGAAAAATGTACTTCAGTAATCTTTTTATGTTTTATTGACAACTTTGAAAAATTATCTTTTTACAATGTATAACATAACTCCATATATATATAAATATATAAATATCAAATGAAATTAGAAAAATATAAATTCAAATCAAATTAAAAATATAAAAACATTAGTTTGCAAAAAACATGTTTATAAATAAATATTGTTTATGAATAATATTTATAAATAATATATATATAATTTTAATGGCCATTTCAATCAAAAAATTATACATAATTATATTCAGTTTACTTGTACATAATTTTTTTACATATATGCAGTTTCACTTAAATCTGACAAAAAATTAATTTCACCTAGTTCAGAACAGAATTATTTGCTGAGATTTGGGTAGAAGTATTTCAAGCTCTGACACACTTTTCACGCCACATGCACTGAGAGTGAGACGCATTTTATGGGACTGTAGGGCAAATACAGTAGACGTCAGGGTGGCCATGTGCCTCTGCTGAATTTACAGGAGTGGGAAGCCTTTGGTCTCTGAGGGTGTGAGGCGGTGTAATCAATCAGGAGATGACACACCTCTAGTGAACCACACAGACACGTATAGACACAAATAGTGGCTGTTAGATCCCCTTTCAGGATCCCCCCTCCTCCTCCTGTCCAGGTCCAAGCTGCTGATGTTATCAAGTGTTACAGACAGCCTTGTGATTGGCCCGTGAGTGTGGGAAAGCATCAGACGCTTCAGACCTATGCAGACAAAGCATTGTAAATGGAACGTGTTTGTGTGTCATCACTCCCCACTCCAGCATGATGTTTCTAAGTGATTAAATAATGTTTAAAAAATTTTTTTTTTTAATGACACACAAGTAATATGTCTATGCAGATTCATTGCTTTCTAAAGCATATTTATTACATATGATTATATAACAAATGTTATATTATAATATAAAACAGGATGTTGAATCAAAATTCAGCATTCTTGCATAATTAAATAGTTTTACTGTTAAACTTATGATAGTTTGGAGGTCAGCAACTGAGAAAATGACAAAATTAGTTACCACATTAGACCTTCGATATGAAACTGTCCAATTATTTAATATTTAATCTGCTAAATTAAACTGACCGTACCACAAAATTAATGATTGTTCTTTTAGTATCATTGAGATACTTTTATAGTTTCTTTTAATATCTTGAATTGCTTAATATTTTTGTTGTAATGCATTTTAATTTTAGGTAAAGTTTTAGTTATTTTGTTGTTTTTTTCATTATTATTATTATTAATAATAATAATAATAATAATAATAAATATGTCTATATAGTTTTTATTAATCTTATTTCAGTTATATATATATATATATATATTATTATTTTTTTTTTTTACATCAAGTTAGAACTGTGAAGATGAGAAATGTTGGTAAACTAGCTAAAATAAAACTTCAGAAACATTTTTTAGATTTTATTTTAGTTAATGTTTATTCAAGTATTTTTTTAAAGCTTTAGTTAACAATAATAACCCCTGATGCACAATGGTTTGCATATGAAATATATTTTAAACATGTCACTAAAACATGTTCAGGAATTTGCAAACTTATCTGAACACATAAGTGATGATAACTCTTAATCATTATGTAAGATTGATTATCTTTCTACATAATTTATATATATTTTGTGTACAACTATAGCCTGAAATACATCTAATGCATCCAAATATTTGCATTCCTACCATTTGCTCAGTGCTGAACAAAACGGCATGCTGTGTTTTTAGCATACCATCTCTGGTCAATGTTTATGTGGTGACTATTTATCATTGCTATTTATTAAGTACAATATATACAGTAGACATCAATGAAAGAATGAATCCAAATGTTTTTTTTAGTAATTAGTTGCTTTTATTAAATGCAGTGTCAGACACACAGTGTCCACAATGTTTTAATGCACCAGAATGCCATCATAAGAACAAATATTGTTTTCTGTAGCCTTTACAAAAGGCTGTATCAAATGAACATCAATCAGGACCATACAAAGAGCTCTGATTCAGAGCAAACTCACAGTTTGCAAGCCAAACAACATTAGGATTAGAAAAAAAGGCCTCTAGAGAAATTCAAGGCAAATGTCTTACAAATCTTATTAAGAATAAAACAGCTGAAACTTCAATATGAAGCAACTGAAATGAACATAGAAATGGAAATGTGTATCTCCTACAATATAAGAGATGGTAAAACCACCATCTAGTTTTTCTGTCAAAGTCTTTCATCATCTACCAGGGTCTCCAGAGAGGTCTGCGAGCACACGGTTCCTGTTTCTCCTTGATGGGCTGATGGGAAACTGGAGACACGTGAACGAGGCCTTTAGATGATCTCTGGCCTTCCTGGCAGCGGTTCAGATGCTGACGTACAGCGTCCACCTTGGAGTTTCCAGATAAGAAGCTCATGGTCTCCCTCCAGCACTGGGAATAGCCGTCAAAGTGGGCTTTCTGTGGAGCCGAGGTCTTAGGCTGCAGCTGCTGTTTCAGAAAAACCACCGTCATCTCCAGGATGTCAGCTTTCTCCAGCTTGGTGTTTGGATCCTGCTGGTGGAACTCCTTCTCCAGCATGGATTTGAGCTGCTCGATGCAGTTGTTGATGCGATCTCTGCGCATCTTCTCCACCACTGGTTTTCTCAACTGTTGAGGAAGGAGACATCCGGTTAGATGTTTGCTTCAACATTCGTAGCGCAGCAAAAGAGAAATGTGTGAGAAACAATTGTGTTTCAAATGTCAAAAAGACTTACTTTATGCTTTTCCTTGTTGGAAAGTTTAGAGTAGTCAGTCTTGTAGGTCGGAGCCATTCTTTCAGACGGAGAGATGTTTCTCTGAGGAGAGCGAGTCAGTTGTGTTGGGAATGAGGGTCGTGCTCCTCTATTTATAGGAGCTCATTAGCATTACAAAGCCATGAGTCCCAGTCAGGATTAGCTTTCCCACACTCAGAGGCCAGTGGGTGAGGCGTCCTCAACAATAGAAGAGGCATCAATTATTTCATGGTTAACTGGCCTCAGGGCTCCCACGGAGGGAATAGGCTTCCACACAACGAACACAACACACACAGGCAGGTTGCTGTACTTTTATTACCTGGGAACATCAGCGCTCGCTGATAAGGCTTCTGCAGATGGGGACATATGATCATTTCCCAAGGGATGCAACGGATATATAGACAAGACGTCGCACACCTTATCAGGCAAAGACAGATCCTGTACAACAGCTGGCTGGTAGAAAAAATATTGTTATTATTATTATGATTATTCATTTATTTTTAACAAATGCTAATGAGTAAATTAGATGTAATAGAAAAATTAGCAAAAATATTTATATAAATATATAAATATTTTATTGTATTTTAATATTGTATACATACATATGCACACAATATTACAATGTCAATTGTAAAATTGAATACAAATATGAAATAAAATGTAACAATCCTTGATTTTTGGTAAATGATTGCTCTTATTATAATTATTGTAAAGTA